CATGGTGCCCAAAGTTATGCCCCCATGGCCTGCCCAGACATAAGGAGAAGTGTGCTTTAGTACTCTGCTAGGTATTTCCTAATTCCATCGAGCTGACATGTCATGCCTCACAGTCACAATGGAGAGGAGATTCATTCAACATGCAAAGTGGATCAGTGGATTTTATGTATGTATGTATGTATGTATGTATGTATGTATGTATGTATGTATGTACTGGGGATCGAACTCCGGTCCTTGCACTTCCAAGGCAGGTGGTGGAACCACTGAGCTAAATCCCTGGCCCCCAATGGATTTTAATGTAAGAGTGTAAAAGGTTCATGGCTATGGTTTCATGTCCCTTTTTTCTAGCAGTACTGAGCATTGGACCCAGGGAGCAATGTACTACATCCCCATCCCCTTTTTATTTTGTATTTTGAGACAAGGTCTTGCTAAATTGCACTTGCTGACCTTAAACTTGTAATCCTCCTGCTTCAGCCTCCCAATTTAGATGGGATTACAGGTGTGCAGCACCACACCTGCCTTTATATACCATATTATAACTGACTTTGAAGACACTAAAACATGTTGAATTTTGGTACAGTAGAAAGAACTCCAAAGACTCTGAAAGGGCTTCTTAAATGGCTTCCCTTTTTCTAAGTATACACCTGCTGCGTGAGGCCAGCTCTTTTTCAATTCACACACTTCAACCAGAAGAAAACAGGGAAGCAGATCGAATGCATTAAGTAGATAAGAGGATCCAGCTGTCTTTTAGTAAACCAGATATTAAAGAACTTCACAGAAGTGTAGAAATAATGCTGTTCTTTTTGGTTATTTTTCTTAAAAAACATTATATTTATATTAATATATAATAGATTTGCTGATTTATTTATGAATGATGGAGTCTCACTATATTGTCCAAGCTGGCCTCACACTCTCCATCCTCCAGCCTTCTGAGTGCTGGGATTACAGGCGTGCACCACCACGCCCGGCTTCCACAGAAGTTTTTAAAATGTATACCTAAGAGTCAAGATTTACTACAATTTATAGTTTTTATTGATTCATCAAGGGCAAGCACTCTTAAGTGCAACCGGCTGTTTTTCCCTTGGTGAATTTTTGACAGTGAAAAATGCAGTCACTACCAAGGAGCATGATGTGTGGCGCATTTACCACCAGTGGTTTTATAACTTTATAACAGTGAGAAAGGTAAGTAACATTTTCATATTATGGAAATAGTTTTGACCGCCAGGCATGGTGGCACACGCCTGTAATCCCAGCACTTGGGAGGCTGAGGCACGAGGATCACTCTGAGTTCGAGACCAGCCTGGGCTACAATAGCGAGTTCCAGGTCAGTCTCAACTACATAGTGAGACCCTGTCTCAAAAAACCAAAAAATAAATAAATAAATAAGATAAGAAATAGCTTTGACCTTACAGAAAGGCTCTTGGGGACTTCCAGGATCCATGGGTCCTACTTTGAGATGACTAATTCAACATATTCTACAAGATTTTCCTAAAAGCCGGGTGTTGTGGTACATGCTTATAATCCCAGTAGTACTCAGGAAGCTGAGGCAGTAGGAATGCCACAAGTTTATGGCCATCCTGGGGTATGTAATGAGTTCAAGGCCAGCCTGAACTACATACATAGCAAGACCCTGACTCAAAAAAATATCCTGTTTTCCTATATTGTGTTGGTCTCTTTCCTTAGGATAGCTTGCCCTAAGATATTCTTTATATTCAAACCAGGAGCCAGAGAGTAATCTCAGTGTACTAGAAAAGATGCTGAAGAGTGGGGTCTTTTTTTTTTTTTTTTTTTTTAGTTTTTAATTTAGTTCAGTGCTTCTGCCTTTTTCACACACTTCCTGTGAAGGCAGGATCCAGTTCTGTGTCTTCATCTACAGGCTGTTTCCTAATGACTCTTAGACCCTGTCCTCTAGTCCTCATTGTTTTCCTGAGCTCCAGGACTCCCTAGAGAAGCAGGCTAAAAACAAAAAACATAGCATGATCTTAAATGTGTAAGGAGAAAAAAACCACAGGAAAAAAGGCTGTTAAATATGCTAAAGAACTGACAAGGGTTATTTATGATAATGAGATTATGGATGACTTTTAAAAATTACGCTTTGTATATTTTTCCAGTGTGTTTATTATGTCTTCTTCTTTGAGAGGAAAGTGTACTAATGAGGTTATATTTGCATTGAAAGTCTAGGTCTGCTAGCTTAGCCTGCATGTGCACAAGAGGGAAGAGTCTCCTCCCAGCAGGGGACTCACATGTGTCACATGGTCTGAACACATTCATGTGCAGTTTCTGGACAGGCCTCTGATTCGCATCAGATGTGATCAGTATCTGAGAAAGTTCTTGCCAAAGTCTTTATTCTCCAATTTGGAAAAGTGTGTTTTGTCATTCTTCTAGGATACATCTTCTCATGGTTTAGACCAGGGCTGACAGTTTATGAGGAAAGTATAGGAAACACTCTAGGAAAGAATATACTCATATCAAAATATCATTTTTCTTATTAATTTCTTCCACAGTATATACTTTACAATATTTCAGTCAGAGCTGGCTGTATTTACCACTTTCTCATTGCTGGGGCAAAATAGCCGACATCCACAACTTAAGAAGTAAAAATTCATTTTGCTCAGTCCGTGGTCAGGTGGCTCCAAGGCAGAACAAGAATGGTGGAAGGGAAAGTTGTTCAACCCAAGGCTGTCAAGAAGCAGAGAGAAAGGAAAAGGGGAGAATCCAGGAATAAGAGTAAACCCTCCAGGTCACACTCCCCAGTGACTCACAGCTTCTGACGAGGCCACCTTACCAGTGGGTGAATCCATTAGAAGAAAGTATAGTGCCCCCTTGACCCAGTCACTTTCCCAAAGCCCCACCCGTGAGACGTGTGACTTTTGGAGGACATTGTAAATCTGAGCCATAACATTGATCTAACTCAGCTCTGTTAGGCCCATATGTGACTTCTTAAGGAAAGCATGAAGCAGATTTTTAGTTCTTCCAGTGAAATGAGCCAAAGGCTCTCTTGCACTTTTTTTTTTTTTTTTTTTTTTTTTTTTTTTTTTTTT